ATATCCAATGTTACCTGTGAGAGCATTGACTGAAATTTCCAGGTTCTCATCTTTATCATTTGAATCTTCCAAAACCTCATCTGTTATGACTGCATCTTCCTGGTTATCCACTTCCTCCATAACATTCAATTGTCTTAACTTGCATTGGTGGCCTGGTTGAAATCGTTCACCACATTTGTAACACAAATTATTCAATCTGCGATACTCCAGCAAATTGTTCTTGTTAGGAGGATTTGGGAGAACTTTCTGTGTTGTTGTAATAGCAGCAGGTCTGTTAAAATTTATTTGGGTGGGATAGGGTGGGATAGGGTGGGAATCTTGAATTCTGTTTCTGTCTTTTGCTTTCAAACTCCATTGAAATCTCATATAATTTTGCCTACCTGCAAGCTTCAGCGACTTCTTTAGGATTAAGAGCTTTGACCCTATGTTTCAACTCCTCCTTCAGTCCACTTATGAAAATGGACACAAAAAATTCCTCCCCCAAGGTTGGATTCTGCATTAGAATGAAAGGTTTCAGCTCTTCAAACCTCACTTGGTATTCTTCCACTGTTCCTTTTTGAATTAGCTTACTAAATTCCTCTATGACATCTGCATACTGCATATCACCAAATCGATGATATAAGTCTGCTTCGAACTCATGCCAATATACTCGATTTTTTTGCATGATATAACCATCAAACCATGATTCAGCTTTTCCCTCTAAATACATGGCAGCTAACTCAACTTTCTGCTCTTCAGGAATTCCAAAGAGATGAAAGAACTTATGACATTTTTGCACCCAGCCCCTTGGATTAGTTCCATCAAAATTCTTTAGCTCTACTTTAGGCCTAGGAAGTATAAATCCAGTGTTTCCTACTGCCCCTCCCTGAACCATTTTGTCCCCATTATTATCCTTTGTTTGATTTTTCATCCTCATTTTTGATTGATCCATTTGCAACTCATAGGGTTTAGATTTAAGGATACTTGGTTCATCCATATTGTACGAGAATCTGGACTTATCATTAATCACTGTCACCATTTTGGAGGTTTTGTTTCATCACTGACGTTTTCTACCCTTTTTGATAAATCTTCAATCTGCTGCTGAATGGCAGTAAGTTCAGCCGACTCTGCCATAGCTTGATTCTTTCTTTGTTTTCCCAGTTTGCTAATGCCAGGAAATTAAGCTCTGATACCAATTGTTATGAACTGAAGAGAATAGAAAAGGAAAAATCGAAGGAATAAAGATTTTAGAAGAAGAAAAGCAGGGAGATTTTAGAAATCAGAATTTCATTCATTCATCAGGTATCTTTTTCATTCCTTAGTACACGGTTTTATTTGATTACAATGTACTATAGCAAATAGAAAGAGGACAGCTGTATAACTAATTCTCTAACAAACTCCTTGCAGCTGAATATTTTCCTCCTTTGGGTTGATAACTGGATCCACGTCTGAGCCCATCTCCTCTGCCCAACTCTTCTTCTACTACCTCTCTAGGTAATTTCCTTCAGCCCTCTCATTAGAGATTGAAATCCCTAATTCCCTTATCTCTTTTCTCTCAATCCCTAATTCCTCGTCCATTTCCCCCAATTCCCTCGCTTCAATTCTAATCTCCTCGTCCTGGTCTTCTCTTGCAACCGTGACAGATAATAACCCTATTTCTAAAATACACCTCAAGATGTAAGATAACATAACAAAATAAAAACCAACAATTACAACCCCGAACTAAAAAACACCTCTGAATACAGTTGTCGAACAATCACGATCCAATAAAAGGAACAAGTTCTAATGAAATATCACAATCTTCAGGGACCCAAGAATTAGATTTAAAGGAAGGATCGCAGATAAAGCATTTTCAGCATCACTTTGTTCAGAAGAAGTTTCAGAGTGTACCTCAAATTGTATAGGAGTATGAGAAGGGAATGATTGAATCTGCATAGGTGTCTTCTTCCTCGTATAGACCCTTAGTGGACAAGTAGTGTCCTGAATATTGGGTTGTGGTTGAGTACTAGGTTCTAACTGGGGAGAGGATAGAGTAGAAGCAGGTTGTGTTTCTGTAGAATGTATAGGTATAGGTGTAGGTGTAGGAAGATAAACAAAGGGCTGAAGTAAAAACAAATATGCATCCTTATCTTCCCTAAATGATATCTCCCCCTGAAGAAAAGGAACTGTAAAATAACTCCCTTTTTTCTACAAAAGTGACATCAACAGAAATGTAGTATTTTCTTGTAGGAGAGTGGTAGCACTTGTAGCCCTTTTGAGTGGAGGAATACCCAATAAAAATGCATTTCAATGCCCTTGATAAAGTTTCCCTCGGCCTTGAGAATGAATGTAAACAAAAACAACACACACAAATACCCTTGGTTTTAGGTGAAGAGATGGACTGAAATTTAGAAAGAACTTTGTAAAGGTTCGAAGGAGACTTTGGGATTCAAGAACTTTAATGGGTAGTTTGTTTATCATATAAGTGGCAGTTAACACATCTTTCCCTCAGTATCTTTTAGGGACATTGTTTTGAAATAAAAGGGCTCTAGTTATGGCAAGAAGATGTCCATTTCTTTTTGCTACCCCATTCTGTTGGGGAGTATTTACACAAGAGGACTCATGTATAATACCTCTTTCTAAGAAATAAGGAGACAGGATTTGATTAAAGTAGTCCTTGGTATTGTCTAATTTGATTCGTTTTATTTCAGGCCTAAACTGAGTCTTGATCATGGTGTAAAAGGTTTTAAAAGTAGAGGTAACATCATACTTCTGTTTTAGTAGATAAATCCAAGTAATCAAAGTACAATCGTCTATAAAAGACACAAACCATCTAGCCTCAGTTATGTTAGGAATAGTGGAAGGTACCCAAACATCACTATGAATAAGGGTAAAGGGACTGTTGCTCCATTTATTACTTGCTGGAAAAGATGAATGTTTATGCTTTGCAAATTCACAAACTTCACAATGAAATTCTTCAACATTTAAGGTTACACAAGGAGGGAAACATAATTTTTAAAAGTCTTAAAGGTGGGTGACCAAGGCGAAAGTGATGTAGCCAATATTGGCCTTTATTGTTGTAGATTCGAATAAAAAAGACAGTGATTGAGTATTCAAAACTCTAGCTGGTTCACTAAGGTCTTCCAGGTAGTATAATTCATTTATTTCCCTATCACGCCCAATCATCCTCTTCAATTCTCGCTCCTAAAAAATGCACTGTGTAGGATGAAATAAAACATTGCAGTTAGTGTCTTTGATAAGCTTTGGAATAGAGATAAGGCAAGTAAATAGTTTTGACGAATGTAGAATATTTTTAAGCAATAGGGTTTTACTGATGGCAATATCTCCTTGGCCAGCAACCGTTACCATATTACCGTCTGCAACTGTGATTTCTTGTTGCTAGAGCAGGGTATGTAGGTGAGGAATTTTAGTGATGAATTAGCCATGTGATCAGTAGCTCCTGAGTCAATTACCCATGAGTTTTGGGTAGGTATGTGCATGAATGATTCCAAGGCATTAGAATTCTGAGAAGAGGAAGAAGATATACCTGAGAAAACTGGATTGCATGTACCTGCATAGGATGGTTTTTCTAAGGATTCTAGTAGGTTCTTCAATTTTTCTACTTCTTCCTGGTTGAATTCAACAGATTGTTCATCAAACTCCTTAGCCACATGTTTAGTTCCATAAGCTCTGCTTTGTCCTCTTGCTAAGCCTCCTTTCTCTGTGAAGTTCTTATTTGCAGTCTGAGGCTTTACATGCAACTTCCAGCACTTCTCTTTGGTGTGACAAGGTTTTTTGCAGTAAGTACACCATAAGGAGTCATTGTTAACCGTCCTTGTTCCTTCTGATCTGCCTTCAATATTTTGTTGCTCCATACGATTTGGTCCCTTAGGAACAGCCCTAGTAACCAAGGTTGAGCTTTCTACTTGATTGTTTTCAACCATCATCACTCCTCTTCTTCCTTCTTCAGCACGAATGATAGCAATAGTTTCATTCAATGAGGGCATGTCTTCTTTTCCTAGATTCTGGACCCTTACTACATCAAATTCTATATTTAGACCAGCAAGAAAATAATAAATCCTATCTTTTCTAAAAACCTCTTTAGAATTGTTGCATCCTCACTGCATTTCATCTGAATGCATTGATAGTGGTCCATTTCCAGCCACAAATTCTGTAGCAGATTCGAATACTCTGTAATAGATTTGCTTCCTTGTTTAGTGGCTGAAATCTTGCTCTTGATTTCATAAATATGGGCAGCATCTCAAACCTTCGAATAGGTTTGTTTAATAGCCTCTCATATCCCCTGAGTTGTTCCAAGAAACATGCAGGTGTCACTAATTTCAGGCACCATTGAATTCCACAACCAAGACAGAACCAATGAGTCTTGTTCATCCCAAGCCTCAAATCTGGGATCTCCTTCCTTAAGACTCGTTCCGATGAGATAACTAAGTTTACCTCTTCCTTTTAGGAAAGTCCGAACCAATTGTGACCACTTAAGGTAATTTTTTCCATTCAACCTAAGCGGCTTGTATGTTTTGTAAGTCACTTATCGAATTAGAGTGACTTCCCTCGCCCATTGTGCCTCCTTGAGCAGTTTTTGTGCTGCTGTAATCACCCGTATTGCCTATATTTTACTGATCAGGTGCCACTCTCTTAAGAGATAATAAGAACTAAGAAAAAACACTCAACAAGAAGATTAAGACCCAAAAACGACTAGCTCTGATACCATGAAAAAAGCCATGAATTTTACTGTGATTCACTCATATTGAATTGGTAGGAAACTTACAATTATATATACAAGCCTAGGCTTTATCTTAGGTAACTTCTAAACTAGGTAAGAGACTAATTCTCGTAATAAAAAGAATCCCTTAGATTTAGAGATACTAACTAAATAGAATATTTACAAATCCAACTCAATCTTCTTAACTTAGGTAACTAATCTATGACACATAGTTTCTAAAAGAAAATAGAAACAAAAGGAATTAATGCTATAATGGTTTAGGATAAACCCAAAAAGGTAAATACGGACTGCCTCATTATACCTGCAGTATAACAGATGAATATTTAACTTGTTTAACATCAGAGCCCGCTGCAAGCAGGACAACAAAGATTTTGAGTATGCTATCATCTGCATCACTGTAGTCTAACCGATGTCTACGAAACATTGATGCTACAGGAGCTCCCGTCCACTTCACATCAATAGTCAATGACTACAATGATGATTAAATCAAGAAGCTATTAATATTCACAAAATTATAAGTGAATATTCATTTAAACTATTAACACGTATTAAGATCTCAAACACATGGAAATATTTTACCTGTACAACAATCTGGTTATACTTCTCAAGCTCCGTGACCAAAGAATCCAGACTTATGTTCTGAAGTCTTGCAACTGCAAATGGGGTATAACAAAGTGTTCCACTGTGGTTTAAATCCTTGACAAAATCATAACAAGAAACAAATTAGTTGAACAGAACAATATCATCACAATGTACTTCACCAAACCTGTTATATATATATACAATACAATCAAATATTTGAAGTGATTTTTACTTTTTAGGCTGTGCAATTTTACTTCAGTAGCAAAACTGAAATCTTTTAGCAATTTAGTCAATCCAAGGTCTATCTTATATAAGTTTCCAAAAGTTCCCTTAAGGTGTAATATATTTCTTATATGCCTTAGGTAGTTAGTTCACAATTCAAAAAGGCTTCATGATTGAGCACCTGGAGTCAAAGTAAAAGCATATTTAATCATTAAGGCCAGGAAGAGGAATGTATAGTTTGCGACATGTAGATCAATAAGCAGATAAGCATGACCCCTATACATGTATAACCATAAGAATTTAGCACATGCAAACCAGAGAGATATTGTCTTTTACTAGTTTTATGACTTTCAAACTATAACGGAATGAAACTATCAGGCCAATGAAAGAGGGAGTAGAGACCTCTTTCGCTTTTTCGAGCAACTGAATCGCAAACTGGGAAACTCTAATCCGAATCTTAGCACATGAGTGGAAAGCTCTGTCTTGCTTATGAGTATCTGGAAACTCACAAATCCGTAAAACACGTGTGGGACCATCTGCATATACTTCATACCCCACCCTTACCTCATTCATGCCGTGAAGCTCACCGAATCTACTTCTCTTGCCCTTGGATCTTTTGTCAAAGACCATATGAGATGCTAACCTTTCTTGTGCAAGTTTGTAAAAGGGCTTCCATGTCCGCACTTTGTCTAAGTTTATTTCACGTGGGAGATTCAAATCTACAAGGAAAATCAGCGTAGCCATAATTTCATAAGCACTTTACTCGATGTTTTAACAATCTATGGCTAACGTATGTTCATGTAACAAGCACGAATGGAGTTCTTCAAGTAGAGTAGCAGACACAAAAAACTCTCGATGTAAATTTTCTAAAATACATTCAACACTTCCATTCCAACTAAAGGCCAATAAGAAAATATATAATTAAAAAAAACCCTTAAGTTTAAAAAGAAAAGCAATGGACACTTCAAATATTATCCTCGCTGAAGTAAAATGAACACATTAGCAGAACAAATTTAAGGCACACAACTTAACATTGAGAAAAAAAGGTCCAAAATAGAATTCTCATTCACGAAATTCAATAAAATATCAATTTATTTGAACATATAAATTCTTTATCAATTCCTTTTAATAGTTCTGTTATGAAAATCGTACTCCAGCAAACACATTGCACAGGATTTACACAATAAAGAATGAACTTATAAAATTCATCAATACAAACTGCAGCAGCAACCTTAAAATGTATGTCAATTATCTAAACAGGACATTTAAATTCAGCTGGTTAAATTCCAAGAAAGTAGAAACCGAATAACATCCATAACGGTGAATTAGCAACTAACAATATTAGTTTATATCAAATGAAATGTCTAATAGCCATATTCTTGTTCTCTTATAGTCCTGCTCAAACTGTATCATTAGGAGCCTATCTTCATGAAAATGTCCAGAAATTAATAGAAGATTGCCAGTCCAAGTGAGATCTCTGAAGAAATCAATTACAGGCCATGTTTTCTGCATCATCCTAGTCAAGAATTGTAGGGAAGAGCTCATCAAATCTGTAAGACCCTAGTGCAATTAAAGGATTCGTTTGGTTAAAGGTGAGAAATTACAGTTAGATGGTTCATTAAAGGTAAGTATGGGACAAGGTAAACAGCTAATGATGGAATTTTGTAATTTTTGTAATATACAGAGAATGAGAGAATTATCTTTCCTGTTTTATTTACAACAATTGTATAGGTATATATACAAGTCTAGAGTCCTTATAGTAGGTAACATAGTGTAGATTGTAGACGTGTAGGTCCTGTAGGATAAGGTTTTGCTTTGTACAGATTAACCATTAATGGTTAGGTTCTTCATGATTTACTATGATTGATAACCTAGCTTGATACCGTGTGTTAAGTCTAGAAAAGAGAAAGTGAAAAGTCAAGAAAAGAGGGAAAGAAGTTTATTTGATAAAATTATCATGCTGAAATCAGAAAACACAACTTGTTTTAATAGGTTGTGGATTACAAGTTAAGAATCCTACTAGGGTGGCACGAATGTCGATAGTAGGATTCTAGCAGGATCCTACAAGTTAAGAAGTTCAGAATAGGGTGGAAGCATGGGTCCGGGACATTCCTCACGAGGGTGGCACGAATGTCGATAGTAGTGGGTTAGGGGTTGAGGTAGCTCTTCATGCTGAGGCTGTTTTGTTAGGTCCAGAGGAGGCATCTCGTGGTGGAGTTCCAGGTCAGCAATTTAAGCAGGGATTTTCAGTGGATGGGAGAGTAAAGTGTTCAAGCCTGAAGGAAGCCTCCTTGGAGCAAGATAATGCTGTCCATGTTTACGGGCAAAAGGACAGTAGGGGACCAGTAGTTGCTAGTGGGTTCTCAGGTTGCAATAAAATATTTATCAGGCCTAGTGGGAATCACATGCGTGATCCTGCTCATTCGGTTGCTGATGTGGAGGTTCATTCTGGTTCGGAGGTTGATCTGTTGCAGTTGCAATCACCTGGACGGTGTAGTGAAGACGGGGATCAGTGTGTCAACTTTATTCTTCAGGGAACCCAAGAAAGGGGGGTTGGTTTAATGGATCAAATCTCTGTGTCAAATAATGGGATTCTGGAAGAGGATGAGGTGGCCCTTAGCCCTACTAATTTTGTGGGAGCTGGTGATGGTGTTTCTTTTGTGAATCAAGGTGGGTGTAATCCTTTGATACCTTTGAACGAAGATAGTACTTCAGAGGGAATGTTGGAGTTATGTTCTAATTTCTCGGATAGATTTATCTCACGCACAAGTAGTCTTCTTAAGCACAGGAAATTTAAGGTTGCTCCTTCTCGGTCTGATAGTGCTTGCTCGGAGGGTGAAGTGACTATTAGTTTCCATGATAGAGTTTATAGAAGGGCGTTTTGTAGTAGGGTCAGGGAGTCTTTGGACCAAATCAGGGCGTCATAACAGTCTTCTCAACAGTTGGATGAAGCTAGAATGGAAGCTGTAGCTACAAGGGCGGTTTGTGACTTGTTGGGGATTTCCTTTAAAGGGGGAAATCAGATTCTAGAGCAGAAAATCAAGGAGCTGGAATTGAAGAGAGGAAAAAGCAGTTTTCGGCTTTTTCTTTTGTACTGCTGGGTTGTGTTATCAGTTTCAGAATTATTTATGTTAAAAATTAGCTTGATTTCGTGGAATATAAGGGGTTTAGGTAGTCATGAAAAAGTCAGAGCAGTAGCGAGACTTGTGAAGGCCATACCAATTATTTTGATGATTCAGGGGACTAAGCGTGAATTGTTTCAGCATGACTTAAGAAGGAGAATAGGCGGGTCATGGCTTAAAGGCTTTTCTTTTGCTCCAGCCGTGGGTGCTGCAGGAGGTTTGCTGTGCATGTGGAACGAGGATGTGTTTGAAGTCAAACAAGTGTTTTCTCTTAGCAGATTTATAGCAATTGTGGGTTTTTTTAAATCGTCAAGGGTGGAGTGTGCAGTTTTGAATGTGTATGGCCCGTCTATTGAGGCAGAAAAGGAGGCTTTTTTCAAAGAGCTTATGGAGTATGTAGTAGTCCTAAATGTCCCAGTGTGCATTGGTGGCGACTTTAATGCATATTTACAGCCGGAGGAGAAGTTGGGGGCATCTCAAAATTGGCATACGATGGAGTTGTTCAGGGATTTTGTTCATCATTCTCAGTTAATGGACCTTCCTTTAGTGGGTGGCAGATTCACTTGGTGTAGCAAAAGGGACTGTCCAACGTGGGTCAGATTGGATAGATTTCTCATTTGTGGCGATTTTTTGATTGCTTTCCTGAACTTAGTTCAAAGTCTTCTTCCTATGTCTCTCTCGGACCACAATCCGGTTTTGTTAGAAGAGAATCGACTTAATTGGGGCCTTAAACCTTTCCGTTTCTTTAATTATTTATTAGAGGGAGAGGGGTTTGATGAGTTGGTCAATTCTACAATTTCTAACCTTATCAGGGAAAATAATCGCAGAGGCATTTTTAGTATCCTGCAAGGTACTAAAAAGGCGATTAAAAATTGGTCGGGCAGCAGGCATACTGATATTACAGACTCCATTTCGACGCTGGAAAAAAAAAATCGATTTGGAGATAAATTTTCAAAACACCAGTTTCTCGCAACAAGATTGGAGGCAGTTTTCGCACCTTAAGAGTGAACTTTGGAGGTTGCATAGGTTAGACGAGAGGATTTGGTTTCAAAATTCAAGGGAAAAATGGATAAAGGTGGGAGATAAGAATACGAGGTTTTTTCATCTTTGTGCCTCGAACAGGAAAAAATTGAACTCTATCTCTTCTTTGATTATCGAAGGACAGGAGATTTCGAATCCTGATCAAATAAAAGAGCATGTAACAGACTGCTTTACAAAGGCTTTCAACAGTGTTGATACACTGGAGGTGGAAGATTTATTTCTCGGGTTTTCCAAATTATCTAATGATCAAAAGGAGTGTCTAGAGGTGCAGTTTTCAGAACAAGAAGTTTGGGAAGCGGTATCGTGTTCAGACAGTAATAAGGCACCGGGTCCGGATGGGTTAACAATAGGATTTATAAAGAGGTGCTGGCCTATTCTGAAGGATTCGATGATGAAATTCTTTGCTGATTTTTATCAGAAGAAGAAATGGGAGCACGGTATCAATCATTCTTTCATTACTTTAATTCCGAAGAAATCTAATCCAATGTGTTTGGAAGATTATAGACCGATTAGTCTCGTTGGAATTTTGTATAAAATTCTGTCTAAAGTGTTATCCAAAAGACTCATTGCGTGTGTTGGAGATATTGTTAGCTCGTCTCAGTTCGCCTTTATTCCGGGACGACAGTTGTTAGATTGGGCTTTTATCGCCAATGAAGCTATAGATTATTAGAGAAAAGGGCTGAAAGGTGTTGTTTTTAAAGCAGATTTCCGCAAAGCTTAAGACACGATTGAATGGCCGATTCTTCTTCGAATAATGAAGGAAATGGGATTTGGGGATAGATGGTGTTCGTGGATCTCATATTGTCTATCTACTGCTTCGGTTTCAGTTCTGTTGAATGGTACCCCAACAAAGGAGATTCCGATGTCTAAAGGTTTAAGACAAGGCTGCAGCCTTTCTCCAATATTGTTCAACCTGGTTGGGGAACTACTCAATCTAATGTTGATTAAGGCGGTAAATATGGGACTTTTTAATGGTTTTACAGTTGGAGGGTCAGCTTATTCTTGTCAGTTGTCGCATCTTCAGTTTGCAGATGATTTGATAATTTTCTGCAGTGCTTCCATTGCGCAAATCAGAAATGTTAAGCGAATTTTGAGAATTTTCAGCTTGATGGCCGGCCTGGACCTAAACCTATCGAAAAGCCATTTATATGGGATCAATATTGAAGAACCTACACTCTTAGATTGGGCCAACTCCATTGGTTGCTCTGCTGGTTCGTTCCCGACGGTTTATTTAGGTTTGCCGTTAAGAGCTAAGAAGAATTCAGAGGTTTTGTGGGAACCAATTCTACAGAGGTTTAATAGTAAATTAGCAGGGTGGAAAGCTTCGGCATTATCAATGGCTGGTAGATTGGTCCTTTTAAAATCAGTCCTGACTAGGGATGGCAACTCAACCCGAATCCGACGGGTTCCGACCCGACCCGACCCGATCGGGTCGGATTTTTTTAAAAACATTTTGGGTTCGGGTCGGGTCGGGTCGGGTTTTTTTTAAATGTACTGTTCGGGTCGGGTCGGGTTTAGGGTGAAAAAAATCCGACCCGACCCGACCCGAAAAATATATATAATTTTATCCTATATATTTAGGGATAATTACAATAATGTCCCTCCATATATAATTTTTTTCAATTAAGTCACTATTTTCATTGAATAAAATTTTTTTTATTATTATTTCGGGTCAGGTCGGGTCGGGTTTCTAAGTCATATATTCGGGTCGGGTCGGGTCGGGTGAAACCTTATTTTCGTCGGGTCGGGTCGGGTCACGGGTGAAAAACCCTTTCTTCTCGGGTCGGGTCGGGTGGCCCAAAAACCCGACCCGACCCATTGCCATCCCTAGTCCCGACTTCTTTGCCGATTTTTCCTATCAATTTTCAAACTACCGAATAAAGTCAGTCAGAAACTGAATTCGTTGATGGCTGGTTTTTTATGGGGGGACGGTTTAGAGAAGAAGCGCATTCATTGGGTGAATTGGCAAACAGTGTGTAGTCCTAGAGATGAAGGAGGCTTGGGGGTATTAGATTTAAATCTAACTAATCGAGCTCTGCTAGGGAAATGGATTTGGAAATTCGCTAATGAAAAAGATACTTTGTGGAAGAATTTGATTTGTTGTAAACATAACATCGATAGTATGTCGATGTCGGTTAGTAGTGCGTATTCAACACAAGACTCTTGGATTTGGAAAGGAATTGTTAATAGCTTTTTGAAGAATGATGAGATTGGTGAGAGGCTAAGATCTCATTCTAGAATCCATGTGGGGAATGGCAAATCAATTTCTTTTTGGAATGATGTTTGGGTTGATTCTTCACCGCTGAAAATTCAGTTTCCGAGAATTTTTGTGTTGTCAACGAATAAATCGGGATGGGTAAGTGATTTCGGAAGTTATGATTCGAACGGATGGACGTGGGATATTCGTACAAGAAGGAATTTATGTGATTGGGAGTTGGAACAATGGCTGGAACTAATGATCAAATTGAACAACTTTCAGTTGTTAGAGGAAGTGGATGATTTTTTATCATGGACAGGGAAGGGCGATGGTTTGTTTACTGCCGGCTCATGAAGAAGGACGATTGGTAAAGGCCAGGTGGGTAATCGTCTTTGAAAAAATTGTGTATGGACAGGTTTGGTCCCTCCTAGAATAGAATCCTTTCTATGGCAAATTACTCATCAAAAAATGGCAGTTAAGTCCCAGCTGAAGAACAGGGGGGTCCCGTTATCAGATGGGGAGCTTTGTCCGATGTGTTTATTATGTGCAGAAACGATTCAACATCTGTTTTTTGTCTGCCCAGTGGCTCATGAGATTTGGTATAAGTTTTTCAGTTTGTGAAACGTTAGCACAGTTTTGCCTGGGGATATTTCTACCTTTCTCAGTTCCTGGCCTGTTTTGGTGGCTAATTCACTGATCTGGAAATTAGTTCCAGCAGTGGTTCTTTGGTCGATATGGAATTATAGAAATTCTATTGTTTTCGATAAAATGGTTATGGACATACTTTCACTCTTCTTCATCGTAAAGTTCAGGCTAGTTAAATGGTTTCTATCAAAGTTCCATCAAGTGCAGATTCCGGTGGACTTGATAATATTTGATCCTACTTTAGTAGATAGTTTCAAGGGTCTTCACGCTACTAATAGGTCTATCCAGAAATGGCTCCCTCCACCAGCTGATTTCTTTAAATTTAACGTCGATGGTGCAGTCAAAAAGGATGGGATGCGGGCAGCATTGGGGGTATCCTCATAAACCATAACGGTTTCGTTTTAGCGACGTTTTCAGAAAGCACAGGGCCAGGGCCACCCCCTCTAGCAGAGTTGAAAGCAATTAGAAAGGCTGTCGACATTTTCTACTCCTCTGTTTGGGCTTCAAAGGGCAGATTAATTCTGGAAACTGACTGCAAGAATGCAGTGGAGTGGGTCCACTTACCTAGTCTCTCTCCGGTGTTTTTTAGTAATTTAATCAAGGAAATTAAGTCTTATGTAATGTTCAGGGGTTTGGTAGTGCAGTTTATTCCTAGGTGTTGTAATTGGGAAGCCGACAGGTTAGCTAAGGCAGGGATTGGCTAAGTATTTGTTGTTTTGTAAAGGCTTATAATGTATGCTTCTGTTATTAATAAATTGAGGTACTCTTTTCCTCCTTCCGCTGGTCGACCTTTTCCTATTCGAAAAAGTCAACTACGAAGGAGGGTTTTAATGAGACCTCTTACTTCTATCAAAAAAAAATAAAGGCTAATCAAAAATAAATAAAATTAGACTTCTAGGATAAACTAAACTCCTAATCTTGGCAGCTTCCTACAATGGAGAATCGACGAATATGGAGGCGCATGGAACTCACACACTTGGATTCAGAAGACTGGACGTTGGGTGATGACCACTCGACGCACGGTGTAGCTACCTGAGCTGCCAATGTTGAAAGATGAGCCTCCAAAACCTACCCTTTGAAGAACGACCATAACTCCGTGTTTAACAACCAATTCCCAAACAGTCCAGACTGTTTGTGCCAGACAAACAAAAAAACTAAAATAATTCTAAGGCATACGATAGCATGTAATATTCAGAGAATGAGAGAATAAATTTTCGTTTTTTATTTACTACAATTGTATAGGTTTATATACAAAGTGTAGAGTCCCTATACTAGGTAACATAGTATTCTATTTTAATTAGTCTTCTAATACCTAAGATATAGTATTCTATTTTAGTTAGTCTTCTAATACCTAAGATTTAGCCTATAAATCAGTAACAATTTTAATGCACACATTGGTAGAGACGAAGTTTCTCAATTTCAAGAAATTGTTGAGCTCGCTGAAAGATACTTCTGCGTTCCAGGAAACTTCATGACACATAGTATTTAGTATGTAAAAAATACAATACATTGTCATTGTCATTGTCACAAGTCAGAATAATCAGATTAACAAAGAAACCGTCATATTTAATGTCTCATTCAAGTGGCAATTCTCCAGTGATTCTGAGTTACTTCAACTCTAACTTTTAGCTGGCTAAATCATGTGGAATACAGGTTTGCAACCATATTGATGAGAAACCAAAGAAAAAATAGAAGTAAATAAAATATACTGCCTGGAATATCACACAGATAAAGAAAGGAAGAACATAAGAAAATAGAAATTGATATGTGCACCCATTTGAATACTGAACATTCAAGGAAATTTTAAAACTCAAACGTGTAAGAGGAAACAGAACAAATGATAGATCCAAACATGTTCCACGAGGGAGCTTGAATGTTTCATTCTTCAAAGTTCAAATGTCAGTTATGTTGATTACATCATAAGTTACTATCAAAATACATGCAAGTTTGGAATATTGAGAGGCAAGTAATTACCATTTAGTATAACAACAAGTTTATGAGGAAGTGTAACATCATCCCAGGTATAATCAACAGAGCAATCAGATCCAAGAAACTCCGGCTCTGATGAGTTCTGGGAAATTTGCAACAGCAAATATTAGTAACAAATTAATACATATGGAAATGCCTGAATTGAGAATTATTTAATTAGACAGAAAATAAGTAACATGGAATTAGATCACGACCTTTTGATAGTAAGTGAGGGATACACCATGCAGATAATTCTCAATCCGATATGGTAGCTTGCTTTTAGGTGGTTTATGGAAGCGCATTACAATTGTGGAACCTTCTTCAACTACAAGAACTTCTGCGAATTCTGCAATCTTTCTGTCCTCTACTGTAAACTGGCTTGAATACTTTCTAAATTTTAGGAAGAAACGTCCTAATGAAGTGATGCACAATGGCCCTGACCAGTCCAACTGAGACTCATTCAATTGAAACTGAATATATATTAAAGAACTATCAAAATCATTTCTATGTTTTTTGATGAAATTCTCAAATAAGCTGTATTCTGTCCTCTTGCCAATTTCATTCTGCAGCAACAGTGCCGCACTCTGTCCACTGTTGATCGAAATCATGCCAGCTATGTCAACCTTCACATCCACACACCATAAAGGAGAAGAACAAAGAAAATCAAAACTTGAAACACATAAAAGAAAACTGCATCCTATATTGGTGGATACAAACCTCCAAATTACACTGCCGAACAGTGATATTTTCATCCGACTCATTCAGCACAACATGCCTTGGAGCAATTGTTATTATTTGTGAAGGTACAACCCTATTCAAGGAAGGCCCTATAGATACCCCAAACTTTGCAATATATTTCACTCCAGATATTTCCTCTATCTCGAGGCTCACTTCTGTAGGGCCTGATAGAGCATCCAAATCAAATTGTGCTTCAGAAGCAGGATTTTCGAATAACTTGAGATGTGTTTTAAAGGATCTGACAACAGGGGAGCACAAAAAATTTACAACCAATTTAGAAACTGCAATATCAAAGATGCTTGGATCATAAAGGTAGACAATGAACTTTGTATGCTAACACAACAGCTCCAAAAAGAATTTTTCTTACCGCAGAAACCATGACCCCGTTGACTTTGGAGGCAAAAATAAACCAAATTCGGGAGGAATTCTCCCCATTTCATTTCTGCAGATGTTTATGGTCGTGAAGTATAAGAGAAAGCATAAACCAATGCTTGAAGAAGTCGCTAACAAATTTTAGAGATAGAAACTACCTAAATGAAGGCTTCTGACCAGAAGGAAAGAAGAATAGAGAGAAATCGGTATCATTCTTCAGGGTATACTTTGTATAGACAGTAGCCTGTAACAGATATACAATTCAGCTAACAAATATGCATCTGAACTTGTTAAGCACCCAACCTAAAACAATCCGTATTTGGTGGAAGGGCTCAATTTTAAGCACACAGGAAATCAAATCATATAGATGCGGGATAACACCACTAAAACACAACTCCTCAAGTTTAGCACATGGCATGCATTTGCACAACCCCCAAGGGTTGTCAATCTCACAAAGGGTTAGGTTGGAAGAACAACATAACAAAACCAGAGCTTCTGTAAAGCATCTAGCATAAAATCAATTGGAAAAAATGGAGGGCCCGACTTTAACATAAAACCATAAGAAACCTTGTTAACAAATGTGAGATAGCACCACTTGACAGAACTTCTATAGCAAACAAACTAGATATGATTGAAAAGAAAAGGAAAACTCATGATATATGCAACTTAGAAAAATTATCAAGAAAAATTTAGAAGATATAAAATTTGCAAACAACCTCTAATATGCCCTTGTATCCACGGGATAGTCTTAAGGATGCGAAGTATTTTCCACCACAGAAATCCAGGTCAATGTCCAAGCAACGAACACCATTCTTATGCTTCAGTAATTTTTGGACCCATTCGCTACTGTTTACTGGTTTAGATGTTGAACTAAAAGCAGTTAATGAAACAAAAAAGTACATTATAGCAGGATTAGCGTAAAAATCAACAGTTGATCTGCAAGGTAGAGTTGCCTCCTTCCCAATGTTGTCATATCCAGTAGAGGTACATGAATCTACAACAAGATGGAAGTTAGAAAAAGTAAAATAACAGAAAAACTTTATTGTTTAGAAAACTCGCAGGTCGTACTTGTCTCATTCAAAAGCACGTGTATTTCTGAGTGCAGAAGATTAGAAACCCGCACAGTGGGAAGAATAAAAATTTCTTTCTGCTCTTGTAGGGAAATTGGTGTATTTCTATTTTCAAGCCCATCTTTAGATTTATCAGGTTTGATGATAGGGACTTCTCTTCCAATGCTTTGAATTAAAAAGTGCAAGTCAGAAACATGTGCAGCTGCAGATTTGACTGTACAATAGGTCGTGCTAAAGGAACATTTCACTGATCCAACAGATAAAGCCTTTCGCACTTCATAGCTTAATTTATCAAAAATTCCAGAAAGACGAATTGCCTTTCCACCTTTTATCTCATCTGACCACTCGACTGAAAGTGAAGTACCAGATTGCATCAAGTCATTTGACATTTCAGGTCTAAAAGAAAATAAGAAGTTACCTGCATGTTATCACCAGCCACATAAAGCTCATAAGAGTGAAAAGATTTCAAAGAATCAGATAGGAAAAACAAGCAAATTATTCCTATACGCGACCCCCCCCCCAACCCCGTCCCCATTTCTTTTTTCTCCTCCTCTGTTCCAAAGCACCCAAATCATGATCTTCACTATACTTGGAAAATAAAAAATGGCAGTAGATAAAAAAAATTAGAAAATAAAATGTCTTCACTACTGAGGTTGTCATCTACATAAAAAGTAAATCCGAGGAAAACCAAAAATATAGAATACATGCAAATCAGTTTTAGGTTTTGAAGTCAAGTTTATTCAGGTTCATTTCCCTAATTAATAAGGCAATTTCAGTAAGTCACAGACCTGAATTTGCTCTGAAAGCTAGTTATATGGATATATAGATCAAAAGATCTAGAATGCTGACAAAATACATTCTTTCTACATGTCTCTGTGTATTTTTTTTTTATAGGAATAATAGGCCTCATTAAAAACTTCCCTCTTAGTTAGCTCTTGGAAAGAGTAACTATCGGAAGGAGGAAAAGAGTGCCTTAGTTTATTGAATAGAGAAACTATTACAATAAATTATACCAATACAATTAGGGCATCAGAATAAAACTATAATCTTAAAATACCCTATAAAAATACCCTTACAATCAACCAATCCCATCCTTAGCTAATTTATCTTCTTCCCAATTACATCCCCTAGGAATCCATCGAATAATAATCGCCCTCTCATGAACTAAGGACACAATATCCTCAACAAGTGAACTGAAGAAACTAGGAACAGAATTAGGCAGCAGAATCCAGTCTACAGCAGATTTACAGTCACTTTCTAGGATCAATCTTCCCTTTGCCGCCCAATCTGATGATAGGAAAATGTCTAGGCCTTTCTTAATAGCTTTTAGTTCAGCCAACGGAGGAGGGCCTGGACCAATACTAACAGAGAAGGTCGATAGGGTAATGCTATTACAATCTCTCAAAATACCTCCAATTCCTCCCTTCATCCCATTAGACTTGACAGCCCCATCAACATTAAATTTGTAAAAATCTATAGGGGGAGGCTGCCAACTTTGTTTCGAACTCCTATGAGTATTCTGGTAACCAAACTTGTCTGCTAGAGAGGGGTCCCCTACCAAAAAATCAACTTGAATTTGGATATTAGAAAACTTTGCTAGAAACCATCTAGCCAACCTAAATCTTATTAGGAAAAAGAGAGAGGTTATATCAAGGCTAGAATTTTCAAACACTACTGAATTTCTTGCTTTCCAAATAGACCAAAGAACTACTCCCGGAATGAATTTCCAAATGTTCGATTTTCTGTTTAGATCAGACCATGAACTTAGCAAAACTTGAGGATCATTAGGCAAAGCTGTATAGATGTCCCAAATCTTCAACATTCTGTTCCAAATATCCCCTGCAACTGAGCATGAGAAAAAAAGATGTTGGACTGTTTCTTCATTATTTTTACATAGTGGACATAGTGCGTCTTCCATAGGAATCCCCCTTTTCTTCAGCTCAATTCTGACTGCCAATTTCTTGTGTATGATTTGCGAAAGGAATGTTTCTACTCTAGGGGGAGCGAAACCTGACCAAACCCATCTTTTCCAAGAAAAACCACCTCCTTGACTATTTGATAGAGCCATCCTGCAGGATTTCACCGAGAACAGACCATCCCCCTTTCCAGACCAAGAAAGAAAATCCTCCATTGAGTCAGATAAATTAAAACAATTTAATGCTGCCATTAGTTCAATCCATTGATCCAATTCCCAATCACATAAGCTTTTTCTTGTTTGAACATTCCACACCCATCCATTTACATCAAAGCAACCAAAATCAACCACCTTACCCCTTTTATTGTTTGATAATGCAAATATCTTTGGAAATTGAATCTTCAAGGGTAGGTTATTGACCCAAACATCATTCCAAAATGAAATCGATTTGCCACTTCCCAATTGAGTCTTAGTATTCGACCTCAAACATCCTCTAATATCATCATCCTTCATATAATTATTGACAATTCCTTTCCAAATCCAGGAATCTTGAGTCGAAACAACGTTGCTAATTGACAGAGATAAAGTACTAGCATTGTGTTTGCTGCATATCATCCTTTTCCAAAGTGAATCTTTCTCATTTGCAAATTTCCACACCCATTTACCCAACAAAGCCCTATTTATGATATTCAAATTCAAAATTCCCAAGCCACCGTCTTCCAAAGGTTTACAAACTGCCTGCCAACTAACCCAGTGCATTCGATTTTTACTTGAGCTTTCCCCCCACAGAAAGTTAGACATCAAAGTATTAACTTTTTGCCTTACTTTGAGCGGCATTTTGAAAATGGATAAGAAAAAAATCGGTAACGATGATAATACCGATTTTATAAGCACTAATCTGCCCGCCATTGACAGTGAAGAAGCCTTCCAACCAGCTAACTTCTTGTTAAAATTCTGTAAAATCGGCTCCCAAAGTACTTCAGAGTTTTTCTTTGCACCTATAGGTAAGCCAAGATAATCCATAGGAAAACAGCCCACTGAGCATCCGATATCATTCGCCCATTCATTTAAGGTAGCATCTTCAACATTTATACAAAGCAATTTACTCTTAGATAGGTTTAAATGTAACCCTGTCATTAAACTGAAAATCCTTAGCACTCTTTTGATGTTCTGAATGCTAGTAAGAGAGTCATGACTAAACAGAATCAAGTCATCGGCGAACTGTAGGTGAGTCAAAAGGAAAGGATTAGCTGATCTACCAATATCAAACCCCTGGAAAAGTCCCAAATCAGAAGCTTTAATCACCATTAGATGTAGGAGTTCACCAATTAGATTAAACAGCAGAGGGGAAAGACTGCAGCCTTGTCTTAACCCTTTTGTTATTGGGAACTCCTCAGTAGGAGAACCATTTACTAGAACCGAAATTGAGGCAGAAGATAGACAATATTCAATCCAAGAAACCCATTTCTCCCCAAACCCCATAGCTTTCATTACTTTAAGAAGAATCGGCCATTCAACCGTATCATAGGCTCTTCGAAAATCAATTTTGAAGACTACCCCCTTCCTACCTTGCTTCCTCCAATAATCTATACCTTCATTAGCTAAGAATGCACAGTCAAGGAGTTGCCTACCCGAAATAAATGCGAATTGATAAGGACTAACCAAATCTGTTATACAAGAAACCAATCTTTTGGATAGAACTTTCGAAATGATTTTGTATAAACTGCCAACAAGGCTAATTGGCCTGTAATCTTCTAAGCTTTCTGGATTCAGTTTCTTAGGGATTAAGGAAATGAATGCATGATTAACCCCATGGTCCCATTTTCTTCCACTGTAGAAATCAAAGACAAACTTCATAATCTGCTCCTTTAACATAGGTTGAAAAATCCCATAGTAAAACCATCTGGTCCAGGGGCTTTATCACTAGCTGATGAAGAAATTGCTTCCCAAACTTCCTGTTCTGTAAAAACCTCCTCAAGACGATCCCTTTGCACAACAGATATCTTTGCAAAAATAAATTCAAATTCTCCCACTTCCAGCGTATTAATCGTGTTATAAGCTTTTTTGAAATAATCCAAGACATGAGCCTTAATCTGAACTGCATCTGTCAATTCTACACCATCCACCTTCAAAACATTAATGGCATTAAATCTGTTTCTGTTCAAGGCACTTAAATGAAAATACCTCGTATTCTTGTCTCTCTCTTTGATCCACCTCACTCTAGATTTCTGGCACCAAATGCTCTCCTCTATTCTGTGCAGTCTCCATAATTCACTTCTGAGCAACACTAACTGGTCTCTATCTTGAGGAGAAAAGGCCGCACCTTGTGATTTCAATTCCAACTCATTTATTTTGGAATCAATTTCTGAAATAGTCTCTGAGATCCCCATATATTTACTGCTGGACCAGCTCCTTATTTTCATTTTAGTACCTTTTAATAAATTAAAAATTCCCCTACCTCCCTTCTTCTGCAAATCAGCCAAGGAGTTTTCAACCAAATCATCAAAACCTTCTTCCTTTAATAGATAGTTGAAAAATCTGAAAGGTTTGGGACCCCAGTTCTGCCCATCTTCTTCCAGCACTATAGGGTTATGATCAGAGAGTGATTTGGGTAGAATTCGTTGTACCAATTTAGGGAACCCCTATAAAAAATTGCTACTAACCAGAAACCTATCCAGTGTTACCCACGTAGGCAACTCTCTATTGTTGCACTAAGTGTACATACCTCCTGATAAAGGGAGATCAATGAGGTTTGTTTGTTGAACAAAGGATCTGAGCAGATCTAGAGCATGCCAATTCTGTGCAACTCCATATTTCTCAAATGGATTAAGATAGGCATTCAAATCACCCCCTATGCATATTGGTAGATTTAAATTTGTAACAAAATTCGACAGCTCCCTAAAGAACTCATCCTTTTCTTCCTCCACTGACGGGCCATACACATTAATTAATACACACTCAAACTTATACAACTTGAACATTCCTGAGATTGCCACAAATCTACTGTTCTTTTCTTCCCTTGTAACTTGAAAAAAAGTTTCATTCCATAAACACATCAGGCCTCCTGCTGACCCATCAGCCGGATAAAAACTTTTTCCTTGAAGCATCTTACCCCCTAATCTCCTTCTTAACCCATTAAAACATTGATTCAATTTTGTCTCCTATAGAAATAAGACAATCGATTTATCCCTATTTACAAGACGGGCTACTGCTCTGACTTTTTCCTTTCTCCCTAAACCCCTTATGTTCCATGAAATAATTTTAAGATTTGACATTGGAATATTAAAACTTAAAACCCCTGAAAAGGAAGACTAAATTACTCCCTTTCTTTCCTAGACCCCTTCCTTTCCATCTTCAAAATTTCCTCTTCTAGCAAATGTTGTCCCCCTTTGAAATTAATCCCCAACATGTTGCAAACTTTTCTAGTAGCAATAGCTTCATTCAAAGCTCTAACAGAAGAGTGTGAAGACTTTGAGGATGATCTGTCTTTTTCCAAAGAATCT